GTACAGGATGTCGACTGGCTGGCGGTCGGGCGTGCCGGGAGGCTCATTGTAGACGGTCCACCTCATGCCCTGCTTGCCATTGGGATCAATACAATGAGAACCGAGAAGGGGGAGGAAACGGTGTGTGTAAGCGCCCACGGTGTAAGCGGGACAAGAGCCTAGCTTCGCAGCAATGCCGTCACATGGAGTCACAGCGTAGTAGGCGGGGAGGAAGCAGAACCACCGCCGTGGTAGGTGGCTACTTTGGCGTTGGGACCAAGGACTAGGTTTTCTTGTCCTTCTTGGATGGCAGGACGTTGTTGTCGTTTTTAAGGAGGACGATGCTCGCGTTGCCAATCTTTCGGAGCAAAGCAGCTGTCTTGGGTGTGTTTGCTTCCCTTTCCGGGCCAAGCTCCTTGATATCGAGGCCCGAGACTTTCTTAACAAGCCTCAGCACAGCACGGACTCGTTGGTCAATGACGTGAGTGAATGGCTTGTTGGTAGAGGCGTTGAAGTTGAGAGCTTCGCCACGGAACCGAGCGGGGCCGGGCATCTCCAGATCCAGACCGGCGACGACGGCCAGAGTCGTGCTGTAGGTGCCGTACCAGTCGCTCATGATGAGACCCTCCCAGCCCCACTCCTTGCGTAGCATTCCGTCGAGGTACTTGGAGTTCTCGCTGCACATGGTGCCGTTGATGCCGTTGTAAGCTGTCATGAAGGCGCCTGGCCGCGCATCACGCACCGCCAACTGTAACGGGAGGGCATAGATCTCACGCAACGCCCGCTCAGTAACAATGCTCTGGACCCCCATTCGCTTGTCTTCCTGGTCGTTACACAGAAAGTGCTTAATAGTAGCTTGCACGCCGGTGCTCTGAATTCCCCGGACAAGAGCAGCGGCGCCAAGACCAGCGAGGAACGGATCCTCGCCAATGGACTCGAAGCCACGGCCTCCGAGCGGGGATCTCTGCATATTGATGGTTGGGCCAAGAATGATGTGGGCATTCTTTGCGAGGGCCTCCTCGCCCATCTTTTTGCCCGCTTGCTCGAGCAGTTGTTGGTTGAAAGTAGACCCGAGAGCTGTGCCGCATGGGAAACATGCCGAGGAGACGCCATTGAAGAACTTGGTGCCTCTTACACCGTTGGGGCCGTCGGACATGCGGAGTGAGGGAATCCCATGTGCAGGGAGGGCTTTGGTGTGCCAAAAGTCGGATCCTGCAATTGGGTATAAGCGAAATGACCAAACACGCTCGAGTTGATCGGAGTTGCTTCTTTTGTATCTCACTATATCCGTCGCAAAGCCGTGGGAAGAGGCTGACCTGCCAGCAGGTCGACCTTTTCAGCCAATGTAAGCTTCTTGAGCACATCTTCGATGTTTATGTCGGCCATTGTGAGAAGAATGGATGCTCTCTTGAGACTACAATCAATGCGATTGTGAATTTAGTCTCAGAGTTACACACGCTTCAAGCAATGTGTCTTATACCACGTCCACCTCGGCTCGAGCACAGTAGAAGAGAAATAAAGAAACATGAGACCAGAAAAAGCCGAGGTCGGGCCAAGAAGCCAAGATGGCGGGAGCTGGCCGATTAAAGTACGATGAGCTCATTACACCACCGTTTTGAAAGTTTATGTCGTGCATCGCCGGGCCGACAAACAACTTGCCATGACGTGTGAATATGAGAAAGCCACGGTCGCAACAGAAAAAGAAAACACAGCGCTTCCAATCCCCCTCATAATCGTGCTTGGCATGGCATTTTTGGGCAACGAAAGGATGATATGTTGGCGATTTACGGAGAGCCTTATCTGGCTAGGTCGAAGTGGGACCAAATCAGGAAGAGATGTTCGCCAGTTTTCAGATTGACCCCACTTCTGGCGGGATGTCGCCACGTCGCCCACACGGCTGAACATCGGCGATCTTTTTACCCGAGCTTGACCCGGTAACCGGAATTCTACCGACAGCTAGCAATTCGGGGACGACATTCCGCTGCGGCAACCATTGCAACAGATGGCGGAAAGGGCAAGGAGGGGAGTTTGGGGTTTGGGGTAGGGCAAGAGCTACCAGATCAATCACCTGGACTTCCCCGGCCTGCAAACAAAAAAAAGGACGTCTGGACAGGAATCACCCACCAGCACGTGAGATGTGCAACTCGACACTGGCTGCTGAGTGAGCAAGTATGTCGTGGTCACAATGGCCAATTGCATGTTGCGGCGTACTTGATAAGACTACGGGTTGGTCATGAAGGTATGTGCCTGTTTTTGGTCTGATGATGATGCTTGCGTCCCCTCGCTGACGACTGTCCAGAAGCCAACGTTATCTTGTAAGGGCTAAACACTGCCGCCGCCCGAATCCCGAAAGGTGCGGTGCCAATATGTGATGTCGACCTGGCTCATGTCGTCGGCGAATGGAGTTGACGACTACTACCAGTAGTTATACCCAAAGGATGGCCCGGGCATAATGTCCAGGAAGAGTGGATTCCTTCACGGACACGATCTCTCCTTGATCACGGCGAAGCGTCTATTTCCAGCCGTGGTGCTCATATGGGATGAAGCTCTATTATTAGCCGTGCGGAGAGTACAACTCTAGCGTACTTAATATGGGATGATCCCATTCGGAACAGGCAATTTGGCAACCGCGTGAAGCGCTGTCCGTCAATTGGATCATGATATGAGAGGCCTCGCTTCCCCACCTGAGACGAGTCATCCAGATGCTATCACACAACCGTCTTTACGAGAACATGGACCACTTAGTACCTACCGCGTGCCCTCCGCGGGCGATGAGATCTTGGTACTTCCCGTGTTGAATTAACAAGAAAACACAGCAGACTCTCGTCCCCCCTCCCCTTCCCGTGCGGATAACTCCTCTTGCTGTTGGACTTTGATCCAGGATAACTAATCGCCCTTGCGGGATCTAGATGCGGTAAAGAGATCGATCCATGCAATGGAGCTGCTGTGTGACGTGAGATCTCGGATGCTCTGCTTAGCAGATGGACACCTCATGCCCACAGCGCATACAACATATTGATATCAGCATGGCAAATGCAACATCTCTGTCTATTTTGGGTGGGTACCCAGCCGGGCCGTTGGGATGTTGCTGTTGTACGGCGTACATCTCTATAAACATTCCCACGTTACAGACGTCACATATTCGCACGCAGCTTTTTGAACAGAGATTTGCAATAAGACATGGCTCCTATGCGGCACAATCCTGTAACACTATTTGCATCAAGCTCCTGCCGTTGAGCAATCAGCCAACTGCCTTCTGTGTAATAGCCTCTTCCGGCGAGTTATCCCGTATTGCCAACATTGGCTTCCTGGTCTTGACTTGTCAAGCTCGCATCTGCCACTTTGCTTCCGCACCCCCCCTCCCTCACTTTTCATTTCGCCACAGTTGGCCTACTGTGACCTCAGTCACTTGTGCAGGGGCAGTGGCTGACCACGCGGGGATGAGGTGTCCAGTTGCATACGGACGGCCATCACTTTTGCGTTGTCCTCAATTCCTGGTCTAATAAATTTCATCCAGATACTAGTTATTAGTGAGGCTGTCCTCACTGCTCAGTACTAGCCATGTCGACCCATCCACAAGCCTTTTTAGTAGACCCATTTGTTGATGGAGCAAAAACAGGGATCGGCACAGTTGCGATTTTCATTGTCCACCCATCAGTCATCTTCGGCTTTTTCACGCCCCCTCTGCAGATCCACGTGTACTTGGCTTTTCCGCAACGTTTGACGCCGTCGTGACAGCAAGGAGGACTGATCGAAGCTTCCACAACACGGCCCGCCTGAACATTTGGAAAAGGGAGATAGAGCAGAGGAAACGTTCTCCTGGTCTCGGCATTCAATGGGTATTGTTACATGAATTCGAACGTGACTCGAAACCTGTCGGTTTCCCTTTATGCTTCCTAAGGACCTTTGGTTGTAAAGAGCTGAACACAATTCAGCCGCAGATAATCCATGTTGATGGCGCCGAAGGAACGGTTGAGCCGCCATTTTGTGCCCTTGGCGTTTGAACCAACGTCAGTACTACATGGGTTTATACGATCTAGACTGCCTAGCTACAGGGACACGAGGGGGCTTGATGAAGACATGCAGCCCAAAATAACCTGTTATGATGTACTTCCTTGTTACAGCGAAGCCCAAGGCTCTCTTCATTGCGGCCCGTCACATGATACAAGAGGATAGCAGATACAGGGCACCGTACCTGACCATCAGACACCGTCACAAGCTTGAACCCACACTTACCGCTTTGGCCGACTCCACAGGTCTTCACGTCTGGATCCAATGTGTACATAGTGCATACTCGGCACTCTTATCACTCAGTGCGCAAATTGCCTGTTCCAGGCCCAAATTGTCTCACACATGCAGAAAATTGCGCTTAGAGTCAAGGGTACTCGCTGGCTGACACGGCCCACGACGACCAGCACAACTGCAACACGACGTTGCCGCTCAAAGGCAAAAGTAGCGGGAACGGCAATTGATCTCGAAAAAGCCATCTTAGGTACCTTGGCATGTCGTCCCGTTGGCCTTGAACTAAATTGGTTAGTACTAGCGAAACATTCACTCACGCCTCCCATGTCAAAGTCATCCTGGTCGAAGAGCTGTTAATCCATTTCAAGGTGTGACCATTGGGCTGCCTGATCGACCGCTACTGCGAGTTCTTGCATGCCGTGGCTGAAGAAGATGCCCTGCATGTCCAAAGCTGGCCTGCTGGCAGCAGCCCTCGTGTCAACGTAGCTGATACGGAGCACTGACGACGGAGGCTTTGAAGTCAGGCCACGGGGCCTACTCCGTAGTTCAACAGTGATTTGGGCAACAGCGACGGTTGGCGATGACGATGTTTCACCCTAACATTGACCTCTCATGGGGCTCGGTTGGCGCCATTGGGGTCGAAGTCACCCAAGGCGGCTTCTTTGTGAAATTTTCATTCGTCAACGATGGTCCGACGGCGTCCCGCCTCACAATGTGAAGCATTACCATCACGGGTAAAACCATCGACAGCGGGGTGGATGCCGAGTTGGAGAGTAAAATGCGCAGATTTCGCAAGAACTATCAAACAAGTACCCTGCTAGGTAGGACACCATCTCAATAGTCACAAATTGGCACACGGAATACGGCACACGAGCCATGGGACAAGGGGTCGCCACGTTAAGATTGATCCAGATGGGAGAGCGGCTGACGAACCTCTGCAAGCCGCGGTGATGGAAGGCGGAAGGAGCCAGCACTGGAAGGGCTTGCTTCGAGATCACGGGCGATTGCCGCCGAGGCTGTCAACGCGTATGTACCCCGGATTGCGGACAATAAGCACAGCGGCAATGTATTCTAAAGAACTTTGTGTTTTACGGGCAAGTCCAATGGGGACCTATCAGTTGGACGATGTAAAAAACCCGCTTCGATGGTTTTAACTTTCGGAACAAGGGAAGCAAAATGTGGCCTCTGTCCGCAGCAAGTACGGAGCCGTGCCATTTTACTCGCGGTCAACCAAGCGACTAGAAACTACGTTTCACGACAAAGTCGGGGTGTCAAGTTATTCTAGCAACCATAGCATTATTGCACAGAGTACTTGTTGGATGCTGGACATGCTGGACAAAAACCCTCCCCCTCCCGCCAAATTGAGTCAAGGGACAGGGAAATGGCATCTAGGCCTGGTGATGACCAGAGATGTTCAAAGTGCTGCATGAACGACGGCGGCTACTACTCCTGCAACCTGCAAAACCGAACCCACGTCGTTTTCGTCTACCGGGTCACGGGGGTTGATGGCAGCTTGCAGGAAAAGCCATGTGGAACATCACAAAGCAAGTGTGAGGTAAAGTGCCACGGCCAAGGGGATGAAGAGCCGGTACAGCAGGTGTATGCTGTGTGGCTTGTTCCCGATCAAGTCGGGTTTGTTTCCGTTCTTGATTGAATGATTGTGCTGGAGGTGCGTATTCGATATAGGGGCAAAGGCCGGTGAAGCTATTGGGCGCTATCTTGTGGCTCAACCATGGTAAAATGCCTCTGTCGGTTTTCCCGGGTGTGGCGTCAGCAAGGCCAAATACAAAGTCAATCGTGTCGATGCAGGACTTGGCGAGAAGTTGTCCCCAGTAAGTTGCAATCATACCAATGCAAGCCCTAGATAACTCCCGGCTTTCCCTGTTTGAATGCGTGATTTTCGAGTAGTAACCACCAAGTACTAGGTATTGTCTGTTGACCAGCCTGTGGCAACAAGTGCAGTAGTATTGTAGCAGCGCCGAGGAGGCATCTTATTCATTGTCGCCGGGACAGTTGTATTGACCGCCCCGGCCCGTGCGCAGGAGGCGCGTTCAGCAGGAACAAGATGAATATGGCTCTACAATACACAGCGCTGGCGGCGGTGTAGATGCATCTCGATGCTTACCATTAGCGACGAGATGGAG